TGTGTGTGTGTACCGTACCACTGGAAACAATCGTCATCCATTCAATTCAATTGAAACCAATATAAATTGGACTGATCATATACAAGTATTCATTCTTGCACCATGAATAACATCACGGAATCAATCAAAAATAGTCACTTTCCAGAAGCGATAGGTGACAATCAATTGGGCAAAAAGTTGACTACTACCATTACTATATTAATGTCTATTAAGAAATTTACGGTTACATCGGACTATTCAGTCATAAATGAATTTCAAAAAAACTATTCAAAGCTTCTTGTGTACGCCCGCTTAGGTTCTGGAATTGAGAATTGAGAATTGAGAATTGAGAATTGAGAATTGAGAATTGAGAATTGAGAATTGAGAATTGAGAATTGAGAATTGAGAATTGAGAATTTGATCATCCATTGTGGGGATTCGGGAATCTGCATAGAAAAAACTTCATTGAATCTCTTCTTTTTTGTATGAGGAATTTTCAGAAAAGATTTACCAAACAAGTCACAATGATCATAGTTACAGATAACATCAAACATAATAAAAAAAGGAATCGCCACGGAAATAGTGTATTCAAATAAAAAATGATAAATGTGCCAAACTGTATGCTGAACGTTGAATATGCCATCAGCACAGATCGAGTGGAGGGTTGACTAAACAAATGAAATGGGCCATTTTTTTAAAGTACCTTAAATGAATGTTAATGGTAAGACCATTTTACCATATTTCTCCGAGATAAGTTGTGGTTGGTGCATCCATTCCACCCATGGCCAATCCAAGGAATACAAATCCCGTAAATATTTTCCAAAAAGCATCGCTTTTATACAAAAAGAAAAAGCCAATTATCAGCGGAATATTCACAAAGTTCAACGCATGCTTACGACCGAATAAATCTATATGAAAAATGAGTTTTTAATGGTCGTCAACTCTCGGGAACCCATTCATTTATAATTTTTACCTAATAGAAATATCGATATAAGACTGCCCATTGGAACACATAGAAAAGAAATACTTCCTGTAGGAAATGCGATACAGAATAGAGGAACAAATTAAAATTGATGAAAATGACTTTTATAAAAAATTTCAAATTGAAAATCATTTCGTACCAATCCATGTTGCTTGCTCAGCGCTTATAAACAGAAATTCATTTTCGTTGGATTCGTTGGCGTTGCCTGTCAGGGCCGCAATTGAAATCGTTTGTAATGCAAAAATTAAGCCCATACCGACTAGATACATATTTTCAACAGTCGCCGCAACCACCTAGCATGTATTTTAGAATATTACAGAAGTTATTTCAAAATATTTCGTGACACTTTATCTCTAATAAATAATAAATGACGATTTTTGTACCTGTGGTAAAATGACGCGAAATCGGCTGATTTTCGGTTGACATATTTGATCTGAAATCTCGACATTGGCTGATTTTGTCATTTTTCAAATTTAAATGAATTGAGAATAAATTTAATTTTTCAAAAAAATCTATGTGACATGAAAATTATTTATGAAGTAAAATCAAAGTAAACCAACCAGAAGAACCAGATTCAAAAAACTAAACTCTCACTGAATGAATCTTTGCCGTTATCATCGAATTTCGGAATAATTTTTTAATGACTACCTTATCAAATCTGAAGTGTTATTCTCATAATTGCTCAAATTATCAAAAATTTTATGGTCTGAAAAAAAGCTATAAAATACTTAGCTAAGCATCACCTTGCGCCAATTAACAACTTTTTCAATTGTGTGTATGTTGGTTATTCTTAGATTGTGTAATTTTCCGATGCTTGATTCAAATACGAGACGGTTTCTCATATTAATATATGTGTGGAAGACGGAAGAGTGCTCTGAGGAGCCAAAGGAGTACTAAGGAACATAGCTTTTCTTCAGTCAGAATCAAAATGTTAATGGTTAAAAAATATTTCTCTCTGCTCCCTGGTGCTCCCCCAACTCCTCAGAGCGCTTCTTCTCTAATGTATTTCTCTAAGAAACAGTCTTCGATTCAAACGTAAAATCGTATCAGCTGTGATCATTAAAATGTTTAGCTCACATTATACTGTAAAGGTAATAAAACGATTTTTTTTCATCATGTCGTATATTCCAAGGCGCAAACAAATGCTATGAAAACAAATATATGCGATATTTTTACGATTCGATTAGAAATAGAAGAAGGCGGCTTAGCTCAAAGTGTAAAAAATGATAAAAAGATTTTTTATGAAAACCACGTGCATCCTCTTTTACTCTCGTAATTTCTATCTTTTAACAATCGTTTTATGATTTTATATATGACTATCATGCTGATAGCTTGACAACTTCCGACATCCGACGCACAGCTGTCTCGGTCTCGGTTGGTATCGAACATGAAACATTGGCCCACTGAGAATATTAGTAACTAATAAATACTCCAAACGCAGTCATACGAAGGTGTCGAAATTTCTTATCTCAATGAAGTCTATTCATCTTTTAACAAAAGTCATGCCTTCAGATGCAGTTTTTTCCAATTTTGTTGAAAGCTTTTCTGAAAGTAATTTTCAACTTGCTTACCTTTCATTTCTACAGCCTGAATGTGATATAAAGGACTCAATTTTACAAATTACGTTCAAAAGAATATTGAAAAAATTCCAATAATAAATCCAAAGATTGATTTTATTTGAAAATTTAAAAAAGTCATCAAACTAATTTGAATTCAGTTATTCACGTTTTATTATTAGGCCATAACATTCCATGGAATAAAAGAGTCTGGTTCAGGTTCTGGGACCTGAAATAATATCAAGAATAACATGTTATCGACGCTGATGTATAGAAGCCAAACTTTCCTACAATTTAAAATTGGTATTTTCTACGTACTTGTTGTGTGAATCTATCTTGACATGCCATTCTAATTCTGGCTGCGGTTGCTGGTGAAATTAAATTAAATCCATCGTCCAGATCCTCATCTCTTCGTGCGGCTCCAATCGTTTTAATAAAGATACCAATGAAACAACTTTTTTACTGAATTCTTCGTATATACCTTTTGAAGAATAGACAGCTCTTGGAATCGAAGCTCCTTTTAGCAACGATATATTGAATTCACCAGGAATATCGGCAAAACCGGGAATTTTATAGACTCCTAATTTAAAAAAAGGAAATTAAAGTTAAAAAATAGACAAATTTTTGGTTTTTCGACAATACCGGGTCCTCGAGAAATGATAGTGCCTGTTGGCGAATATACCATCTCTTCAAGTGTGAATAAACCATATCCTTGCATGAAACCGCCCTCGATTTGCCCTTAATTGAAATTAACATTTTAAACTGAATACATTATGGAGTAATGACCCAATGTTCACTTGGAAATACAATACCAATGTCGATGGCAGGGTTTAAGCTGGATCCAAGATCCATCACAATGTCCGTGCGAATGACCTGATGGTCTCCAGTCAAACAGTCGACTTCAACTTCAGAGCATGCAGCACCATATGTGAAGTAATTGTATGCGGTTCCTTGATTTGTATTCGCATCATAAGCGATGTCTGGAGTAGCATAGAAACCGGTGGCCGAAAGTGAAATTCGTTCAACGTATGCTTTCGACACCCATTCATTCCAACCCGCATTCGGATACTTCTCTTTGATTGGTGCGAGACGTTTATTTAACTTTTCACACGCATCCAATACTGCCATGCCATTCAAATCACTACTTACTGAAGCAGCCGTTGCTGAAGTGTTCGGTACTTTGTCGGTGCTCGTTTCAGCAATATGAATATGATCTACATCAACACCTAATACTCTTGATGCACATTGTATCATTTTTGTATGCAATCCTTGCCCCATTTCCATGCCTCCATGTGATAATAAAATTGATCCATCCAAATGTATGTGAATCAGAGCACCAGCTTGGTTTAAAGTCACACCGGAGTATCCAATACCAAATGTTGTTGGCACCATTGAAATACCACGCTTTCGCCAGCGATGCTGACGATTGAATTCAGCGATGGAGGCTTTACGGTTTTCATAGTTTGCTTGCTCTTTACATTCATACCAACATCTGGCACAAAATCAACAATTGAATTTTTCTACTCAAGTTCGAAATTATCTTTAATATTCCTACCTTTGAATTGTGCAATTTATCAACCGTTGATTGTAATGTGTTACGTGATTTGTTTCGTATAAATTTTTTTCAACTGAAAACCAGGAGAAAATAATTTATGTTTTATAATTTTTAAGAAAGTTGTCAACTGTTTTAAGATATTTTTTAACGATTCTTCAGTAAATTTTACCAGTTTCCGTAACCTCTTTTCCCAATGTTTCAGCGACAGTGCGTATAATATGTTCAGCGGCGAACATGCCTTGGGGTCTACCAAATCCGCGGAATGCTGTATTAGATGGCAAATTTGTTTTACAAGACCATCCAAGAACACAGGAATTCGGAATATAGTATGAATTTTGAAAGTGAAACATTGCTCTTTCCATAACCTGAAAAATTATGACATTTTGAGGATTTAACCAATTTTTAAGCATCAAATACTATAAATATAAAGGATTACAACATGACCGAAAAGACTTGAAAAAACCACCGACACTTAACACCTAATTAACATTGCGTTTCATTTATTCTGTCGTTTTTACTAAAATTTTACGTTTTTGTCGCTACGTTTGGGTACTTCTCGGTTTTTTTTTTCGAAATTTTTGACAGATTCTATACCTACCTCCAAAGATAAATCAATTGAATATCCCGCATTTTGGTAGATTTTAATTTTGCATCCGGTAATTTTGCCATCCTTGTTAAATGATACTTTGTACTTGTGCATGAAAGGATGTCTGGTGCCAGACACTTGCATATCTTCATCGCGATCAAGCATGCATCGAATGGGTCGGTTCATACGACTAGCTGCCAATGCAACTGGAAAAGCAACCAATATTGAACGTGATTGTTTGCCTCCGAAACCGCCCCCAATTCGCTTCACTCTAGTCGTAATTTTTGATATCGGCATATTGCATACTTGACCAATAAATTTTTGCACTTCAGTTGGGTGTTGTGTCGAACAAAATACTTCCAATTCATCTGCATCACGTGGAATGGCAAGAGTTGCATGAGTCTCCAAATAGAAATGCTCTTGACCACCCATTCTGCATTCACCTTCCACAACAAAATCCGATTCATCAAATGCCTTTCGATAATCACCCCATTCCATTCTCTTCGGTGGTCCAAAATATGAATTATGTACGATGGCATCTTCAATGGTAACAATTAGTGGACTTAAATCTTCATATTGTATTTTCACCATTCTTGCTGCTTTCTGAGCAAGCGATTGACTATCAGCCACAATGGCACCGATTATTTGACCTTGTGATGTTACTTTATCCGTCACGAAAACATTTTCATCTTGTACTATTGTGCCGACTTTGTTTTCGTGTTCGGTTAAATCTTTTGCACAGAAAAATCGATGAAGACCCCGCATTTGAAGCGCTTCATTTGGATCGATTGAGAGAATTTTTGCGTGCGCTTTTGTGCTCATCACCAAAGCCAAATATAATTCATTTTCCCATTTTGGAATGTCATCCAAATAGATTGCTTTGCCGGTTGTTTGTTTGAACGCGAGGAATAGAAATCATTAGATTTTGAGCGACTTTGGTTGATGGAAAAAAATGTCATGCCTGGAGTGATACCTATGAAAAAGAGTCCAATTTTCGTCCAGAAGTCATACTTAATATAGACTTAAACACTCAAAAATATGTATTGGGAGGTTTTTTGGCACGAGAAAACCGAATCTGACGTTAATTTTGAGATACCATCAACTTTTAATACAGTTCCCTTGAAAAAATCACAAAAAATTGAATTTTCGTATTGGAGCCATGCCTGTATGCTACTTTAATGACGTGAAACTTTGCACAGTCTATTTTTTACACAAAAAAATAACATTCTGTAAGTTTGAAGAGATTTCAATCAAAATTAGGGGTACCTCCCCATATGAAAAATTAACGCTATGCGCGTCAAATCGACGTTATTCGA